AATAACGCGAAATCCGGACGGTTAAGTCCGGCAAAATGTCGGTCCACCGACAAAAGCCTCGTGTTGTCTAAACACAAATAAACAGGGTACACAACATGCGGCCAAGAAAGGCTGTTTCACAATTAAAGCCGACCTTTCTTCGACTCTTTTCGGATGTTGAAATATTCCAATTTTAATTTCAATTGTACACCGGCGTTGGCATATGTTCCGATTTACGGCATGAACAATTAGCACACCGATTATTCCACGTTTGACGGCATCCGCGCGCTAATTATTTTTTTCTTCTTAAGATCGATTATTTAAACAGAAGCTTCATTTCTTTTTTTTTAATTAATTACGTGTTTTTTAATTTTTATCTTTAAATCAAATCCAGGAAACTAAAAATTTTCATAATCATCCGAAGACGATATTTTTCTTTTCGCCTATTAATTTCAAGCAAAATTTTCAAAGTATAAACAAAACCCCTGAAAATACCCTAATTACCCCGAAAATATACCCTCCCTCTAGCCAAAATCCTGCTTTAACTGTAGGAAATTAGTCAGAAATATCAGAAAAAAGTAAACAGGCTTTCATTTACCGTCAATTTAAAGTCAATGTTGGAAAAGTAATATAAAATAAAACCCGATTGGCATATCTCTCCTGCAGGATTACCGACTTAAAACGGCCCCTAACAAACGGAACAAATTGGACTCGGAAAAGTGGAAAAACAAATTACTTTCATCATCGGAAATGCACAAAATATCCTCCCTTCTTTAGGCCTAATTTCATCTGACTCCCATTCAAAAATCCTAACGCCGATCGTACGATTACACGTGGAATTACGAGGCTGGAGAAAAAAGCGGGTCAATCACCAGAGCGCGCGATTCATGAAAATTCACTGAAATTGTTTTTTTCTCCTAGACATAAATTGACATTTTAGACAATGTTTGGAGGTTCTAATTAAATAATTGCCAGCAGCAAAGAAGGCCGAATAGCCTCAAGTTTCACCACAGTGTCATTTTTATTACGACCGCATATGCATTTAAATGTCATAATTTACCTGTTAACTATTTTAATTAATTACACCTTTTTTTCTAAGGTCTTGGTTGAGATGAAAAAGCAAGTGTCACGAGCGGGATTCGAACCCACGACCTTTGGCTCAATACGCCGCTTTACTATATTTCGAAGTTACGATAGCTCAAGCGGTTAGAGCAACGGCGTATTGGGCTTGCTTTTTTTTCACCTCAATCAATACCTTAAGTAGAAAGTATAATTTAATACAAATCTTGATATTAATTAATACATTTTTTTACAAGAAATATACAAAAGTATGTTTTATAATTATAATTAGTAATCAACGAACAAAAATGTGTTTATCTAATCGGTCCTTTAAATACTTCCGCAAGCGTAACTGTTTAGCAAGTAGGATATGACTTGATATGATGTATTTATAAAAATAAGTTTTCTTTTTTATTGGCCTCAACCCTGATCTTTTTTAAATATATAATTAATGATAATCAAACTAGATGAGCTATGAGCTTTTGTTAGCAACTCAACATATATATTTCTTTTTAAACCAAGTTTTAAAAATTTTACATTTGAGGGTTGAACTTATACTTTGGTCGAATAGCATGAGTTAACATAAGGAACTTATACAAAAATAAATAAATACCACAGCAAAAACATATATTTTTCAATTAAACGTTTAAATTTTAATTTTATATACACGTGTGTGGTGATTAGTGACCGTTAATCGATAATTAATCAGAAATCGTGAGATGCGGTCTGGTGTGATGTAGGTTTCAGAAAAACATTTTCTTTATTGTGCCAACGTTTCAATCTTTATTGAGACACTTCAGGGCTCAAAGTGTTTGTCTTCTGTGTAATTGTGTGCACTCTCAACACGACACGCAAGAATGGCACAATTACACAGAAGACCAACACTTTGAGCCCTGAAGATGATCTCAATAAAGTCGAAACGTTGGCACGATAAAGAATATGTATTTCTGAAACCTACATCACACCAGACCGCATCTCACGATTTCTGAATAATTAATTTATATACACGATTGTAAAAATTTGAGACAGGGAAACTGCCTGGAAAACGGTCCTAAAATGAATCTTTAAAAAGTAAATAAATTACTTGATTCGCCTTTCAAGCTAAACGTGTGAAAGTATACAAAAACACCGCACAGCCAAGAACAATGAAACAACTAAAACTATTCTAAAGGTTTTTTTAAGTTTCAGAAAATTGACTCATTAACCTAGATATTGGCATCGAATAAACGAAGATTTTTGTACTACGATAAAAAAAAATTGGAGAATATAAACACATTTCATCGTTACGAAAGATTTTTTTTTTTATACCTTCGTGCTCTTTAACCCTCTAAAACGCAAACAAGTGTAAAAATCATCCTTTTTTCGTTCGAACTGGCTTCAACCCTGAGCTTTTTTAATATACATTTAATCTCAGTCAAACATTGAGACAGGAAAAGGTATCCAAATGTCCCAAAAATAAATTCCCCCCAACAATCACAAAAACAAACAATAAAAAACGATTGTAAATCTTTCTCAAGTTTCAGAAAATTGTCTCAATAACCCGGATATGAGGTAAATCAAGCAAATTTAAGATTTTTATACTACAAAGAAAAAAGTCTAATATAAACTCATTTCATTGTTACCAGCTTGCCTTTTTTTTTAAATTTTCATGCTTTAACCCTCTATACGACGACAAGAGCAAAAATCATCCTTTTCTATCTAATTGGTTTTAACCCTGGTCTTTTTTAATATACATTTAATGTTAATCAAAACTTAGATAATATCCAAACGTCCCAAAAATAAATGCAGAAAATTGTCTCATTAGCCTAACTATTGATTGAAATAAACAACCAAACACATTTCATTGTTAGGAAGATTTTCTTTTTTTTATAAACTTTCGTGACTTCAACCTTTAGTTTTTTCTTTAAGTATAAAATTTTTAAACTTTCTTGCTTTATGTACTTTATATAACGAGATGCTGAATGCACTAATCATTTTAGATCTGTTGTAATAATTTCAATATATTCGAATTAATTAATCTCAAAACCGTTAATTGAGCTTAAAATTTCTGATGAGGATGTATGAGTGGAAAGGTCCATAAGTTATCAACAGTTTTCTTTCTTACTGGCCTCAAATCAGGCGCCTTTTTTTTAATATATATAATTGATGTTTTGTATAAATTATCACCGGTGTCACTATACAGGGTTTTTCTAACTAAAGAATTAGAAGAAAAAAATTCTATAAAATAGTGAAACCTTGGTAATAAAACTATTGGCAATCAGACTAGATAATTTTTTGTAGTTAAAAGAAAGAAATGGTCTGGTATATATGCATTTTGATTTTTCTAAAAGTAATTTTTTCGAGGATAAAAACTCAATCGACCTATTACACAGGAAGTTTACTGGATTGAGTTTTTTTTAAATCATATAATTGATGTTTTGTATAAATTATCTCCGGTGTCACTATACGGGGTTTTTCTAGCTAAAGAATTAGAAGAAAAAAAATTCTATAAAATAGTGAAACCTCGGTAATAAAACTATTGGCAATCAGGCTAGATAATTTTTTCTAGTTAAAAGAAAGAAATGGTCTGGTATAAATGCATTTTGATTTTTCTAAAAGTAACCTTTAGAGGATAAAAACTCAATCGACCTATTACACAGGAAGTTTACTGGATTTAGTTTTTTTTTTTTTTTAAATCATATAATTGATGTTTTGTATAAATTATCTCCGGTGTCACTACACGGGGTTTTTCTAGCTAAAGAATTAGAAGAAAAAAAATCTATAAAATAGTGAAACCTCGGTAATAAAACTATTGGCAATCAGGCTAGATAATTTTTTCTAGTTAAAAGAAAGAAATGGTCTGGTATAAATGCATTTTGATTTTTCTAAAAGTAACCTTTAGAGGATAAAAACTTGATCGACTTGATTTTTTTTTTTTTTTTTTTTTTTTTTTTTTTTTTTTAAATCATATAATTGATGTTTTGTTGCTGTTGAGGATATGGAAATTATCTCAGGTTTCACTATATATATTATTTCTACCCAAAGAATCAGTAGAAAAAATCAACTATTTGGCTGTAAAAGTTCTATAAAATAGTGAAACCTGAGGTAATAAAACATTGACAATCAGACTGAATTTTTTTTTTTAGTTAAAAGAAAGAAATGGTTTGGTATCAATGCATTTTGACTTTTTTGTTAAAGAGAACTCGAGCTTAAAAAAATTTAATCAACTTAATACGCATGATATATTTAGAAGGACATTTTTTGAATTTTTTTTTTTGTAGAATTATCGAAATTCGAGAACACGATGAACGGCCGGGGGTGGGGTGTAATTTTGGCTCCTCGCCTAAAATTCAACCCCCTCTCGACGCGGGCAAAAATGTGCGGGGAAACCGCGCGCGTGTGTTGGGATTTTTCCGTTGTGAGGAAGGCGTGCCACGAGAGCCCACGGAGGAATTTTCGACCGGACAAAGAAACCCGATGGAAAGAAACTCGGACGCTACAAATACCTGGGCTGGCCTCAATAACCCCCACCCGGCACAATTACAATTAGGACCGTCGACTACCTTTTGCCTCTCTCCAAAGCTCAAAAAAAACCTAACAAACAAAAAAAAAAACTTACGACTATGCTTTTATAATTTTTATTATAGCCGTAGAACGAACAAAGGCACGCGGAGACATCCTCTCGACATACAATTATGAATGTCTCCGCTGGTTTTTGTAAGATTTTAGGGGGGAAATGGGTTGAGACAGGACCCGTTCGACTCACCGGTAGTCGAACGATTCAATTACGCAATTTCAAACTTCAAGGTAAGTTACGAAATTCATGACGCACACCTTACTCATCCGGCAGAGATCGGAAAACAACTAGGCAAGATTTTTGCTTTTGAATCAAACGAAAGACCAAGGATTTCGACGCGAAAGGAACAGCGAAAGATTTATACGAAAAACGAGTTAAAAAAAAAATAAATAAATAAAACACTCACCTTCCGCTCTTGTCTGCAGATTGAAGATGAGAAGCACCGTGCATAACAGTTTCGCGATGACACCCATTATTTCTCGTTTTTTGATTTTTTTAATAAAAAAATAACTCAAAAACACAAAAAAAACACTAGTCAGAACAATATAAAGACGTAGAAGAAGGAGTAAACACTTGGATTGAGTCGCATTATGCTTGGATGAGGGCGGCTACGATCTACAAGTGGTTGGGAGCAACTCGGCGTCTTTGGAGTCGATGTATTCGTGGGCGGAACTGCGGGCGGCGAGGAGGCCAGAGACGTGCACCGTAGCGGCAGGGCGAAGACTGAAGCGGCGGAGGGCGGCGAGGCCGAGGCCCCCACCTCGGCGATCCACAGGTTGGGGAGGGGGTGGCCGCCGACGGTTAAACGCCGCCCGGAGGGAGAGACGACCGCTCCGTCCGCGTTTAACAAAAGGGTCGCGCACACGTTTCAACCTTTTAAAGTTTTTTCTTTTTTCTTTTTAGACGGGAAGCAGTCCACTTTGTGATGCCTATGCTACAATATTACTTCGCTGACTACGGACTATTTTTTGGCGGGGGAAAAAAAACGACGATGGTTTCAAAAATACTAATGATTACTACTAATTGATGACACACAGTGATTCAACTACGATAAAGTTAATCGAGGATATTCAAAGATTCGTCTTTAACTTTCTTCTTAAGTGAATGTCTGCATATCCCTCTCGCGTTTTTCCTTTTGATAGGTTTTGTTGGGTAATTAAAATGATTTTTCTGCGTTAACTGTACGAAATTTCGCGTTTTCAGTGGAAGTCTGCATGTTGCCCTCTCATACTTCCTTTTATTGGGTGTTAGAGTGATTAAAATATTATTTCTACTATTCCACAATATGTGCTATAGATATCGGGTTAGTTCATTGTTCAATAATTCCAACTCAATTAACTGTACGATTTTTCGCATATTCAGCGAATGTCTATATGTTACTCTCGCGTTTTTCCTTTTATTGGGTAATACAGTAATTCAAATAATATTTCCAATATTCTACAATAGCTGGTTTAGATGTCGGGTTGTTTCACTATTCATTCGAACACTATTTTCGGATATTCTGTGGATGTCTGCATGTTGCTCTTCCGTTCTTCCATTTGGTAAGTTTTAGTGGTAAATCAAATGATTTTGTAGTTATTCTATCGGGTTTAGTTTTTGGTTTGTCCGTTGTTTTATTTTTTACGAATTTAATTAACGAAAATGAATTAATAATATAACTAGAATAGAATTAACGATCTCATTGGTGTCTGCTGTCGCGTTTTGTTTTATGGTTTTATTTGTGGGATTCAAATGATACTTAAGGTATCCTATACGCCGTATTTTGGTTAAGTTCATTGTTTTCCTCTTTTTTTCGAAGCATTTATTCGAAGGAATTTTTGCATTTTCAGTGGATGCCCTGCATGCTGTTCTCGCGTTTTTCCTTTAGGTAGGTTTTAGTGGCGAATCAAATGATTTTTCTATTATTCTCGCTGCTATAGGTTTACATTATGTTCAGTGTTTTCATTTTTTCGAAATACATTAACTAGACGAATTTTCGCATTTTTCAGAGGATGTCTGTATGTTGCTCTCGCCTTCATCTGTCTGGTACGTTTTAGTGGACTAAATATCACTATTTAGATATTCTATCGGCTTTAGTTTTTGGATTTGTTCATTGTTTTTCTTTTTCGAACTAAATTATCAACTATAGGAATTTGGGCATTTTCACTGGATGCCTGCATGCTGTTCTCGCGTTTTTCCTTTAGGTAGGTTTTAGTGGCGAATCAAATGATTTTTCTATTATTCTCGCTGCTATAGTTTTTCATTGTGTTCAGTGTTTTCATTTTTTCGAAATACATTAACTAGGAATTTGGGCATTTTCAGTGAATGACTGCTTGTTGCTCTCGCCTTCATCTGTCTGGTACGTTTTAGTGGACTAAATATCACTATTCAGATATTCTATCGGCTTTAGTTTTTGGATTTGTTCATTGTTTTTCCTTTTCGAACTAAATTATCAACTATAGGAATTTGGGCATTTTCAGTGGATGCCTGCATGCTGTTCTCGCGTTTTTCCTTTAGGTAGGTTTTAGTGGCGAATCAAATGATTTTTCTATTATTCTTGCTGCTATAGTTTTACATTGTGTTCAGTGTTTTCATTTTTTCGAAATACATTAACTAGGAATTTGGGCATTTTCAGTGAATGACTGCTTGTTGCTGTCGTATATGCCATTTTGGTGTGGCTTAGGAGAAGTCTTATGATTTTTTAGATATACTATGTGCTATAGTTTTCGGGTTAGATCATAGTTTTTCTTTTTTTAACAAAATGAATCGACTGATTTTCGCATTTTCTGCGGATGTCTGTCTGTATGTTGCCCTCGCGTTCTTCTATTTGGTAGTTTTAGTGGACTTCACATGATTTTGTTGATATTTTATCGGCTTTAGTTTTCAAATGTCTTAATTTTTTTTCCTAAATTATTAACTATAGGAATTGGCGTATTTTCAGTGGATGCCTGCTTATTGCTGGCGTATTCTTCTGTTTAGCGTGTTTAGTGGGATTCATATTATATTTCAGATATTCTATCAGTTATTCCACGTGTGTCCCGTTTTATTTAAATCGTTTTAATACATTTGTTATCATTACAAATTACATCGATAAAGTAAATCAGAGCTCATAACACAAATAACTGACATTTCACTCTTTTTAAATTATTAAAATAAGAGATACGAGGGTAGAAAGGTTAAAATACATCATTGAAACAATAAAGCCTTTTTCACCTTTCAAATTTAGACTCATCGCGTATGAAATATCAAACGGATATTTAATCGAGTTATGTTATTTGGAGGATATCTGCCCGTCCGAAGTTCTGGATGGGAAATAATTCGCTTCCAAGTGCATAATGATAGACGTAAACATGCCCTCAATGCCCACGGTCAGCACGTTTCGGTTAATTTGAGTTAATTTTGTATAAACAGCCAACTTCGACGATATGTAATATATTGCATCGAGAAACGGGTTGGTATTGTGCAACGAGCAGACGCCAGAAGACAAACAGATAAATTAAATTCAAAATTTAGCCGAAAATTGTAAACACTGATACTCCAATCAAAATCTACGGAAAACGCACGGGCTACAGTTGAGTCAAGAGCCAAAAATAGAAATACGTCGAAAGCGAGGACCAAATAGAAATTAAATTATACTGTTTCTGACGTTTTGTTAAATTACTGATGAGGTTGTTTTAACATGTCCTCCGAAGTTAAATTCCGGACATGGCCGGGTTCAACGTCAGAAAATGCTGATACACAAATTATTGCCCTACTTTTCCCCTAAATCCTACAATCTCTGACGTTTGAATTTTGGTATAACATTTCATTTACACTAAACCCTTGTTTTTATCACATTATACTAAAACTTTAACTTATTATTGCAATTTGTATGGCTTTGCTAATTTTACGAACACCTACAAAAAAAGAAAAGAACTTGAGAGAATAATGATGATATATATATACTTAAAATGCAGAAAACGAATAGTTAACGTTGTTAAAAAAAATTCTACGGTAATTAAGTTGGAAAAAAGAAAATCAATGAACATAACCAAAATACGGCGTATAGGATTATCTTAAATATCATTCGAATCCTACAAAATATACGAAACAACAAAACGAGAAAGCAACATGCAGACATCCACCAAAAATGCCAAAATTCGTCTAGTTACCTTTGTTAGAACAAAGTAAAACCTTTTTTTTTAATGGAAGGTCTTGGTTGAAATGAAAAAGTTAGTGTCACGAGCGGGATTCGAACCCACGACCTTCGGCTAAATACTCCGCTGCTCTAACCACTTGAGCTATCGCGATTTCGATCCACTCGGACACCAACTCTCCACCTCAACCTACAACTTTTCCAATTTTCCATCTTTTTGCTATTTTTCAACTGGGTTCGAATCCCGCTCGTGACACTTTTTCATCTCAACCAAGACCTTACGTTTATCATCCTTTAACATTGACCAAACCTGAAAACTATAACTAATATAATCTTAAATATTTTNTATTTATATAATAATTAAATATATTAAAGTAAATCTTAAATGTCATTTGAATTCCACTAAAACCCGCTAAACGGAAGAACACGAGAACAACATGCGGACATCCATGAAAATGCAAAAATCCGTCTTTTTGACTTTGTTAGAATAATATAAAAACATTGAACATACCTGAAAGTTATAACTGATAGCATATCTGAAATACCTTTTGAATCCCGCAAAAACATCCATTCCTATTAATAATATACTTCGAAGAAAGTAAAACAATGAACACAACCGAAAACTATGGGTTCAATTAATCCCAAATATCATTACATTCCTCTAAACCTACCCAAGAGAAAAGTAGGAGAGCAACATTCGGACATCCAACTGAAAATGCAAAAATTCCATCGAATAAATGCTTTGAAAAAAAGAGAAAAACAACGAACTTAACCAAAATGCGGCGTATAGGATATCTTACATACCATTTGACTCCCACAAATAAAAACAAAAAACAAAACGCGACAGCAGACACCAATTAAATTGTTAATTCTTTTCTAGTTATATTATTAAGCCATTTTAGTTAATTAAATTCGTAAAAAACGAAAACAATAGACAAACCAAAAACTAAAGCCGATAGAATAACTACAAAATCATTTGATTTACCACTAAAACTTATCAAATGGAAGACCGGAAGAGCAACATGCAGACATCCACTGAATATGCGAAAATTGTGTTCGAATGAATAATGAAACAACCGGACAACTAAGCCAGGTATTGTAGAATATTAGAAATATTATTTGATTAATTCACTACTTTCGTGGTCCGCTTGACCAATTAATACATGACAATTAATTAAGGTTTTTAGTTGAGATGAAAAAAAGTTAATGGCACGA